ATCCAGCAAGATTAGAAAAAGATTTCAGTAACAATTGACAATCCTTCTTGGAAGGATCGCTCCGTCAAAAGCAGAAAGCATTATAAGGGTGAATTTGAGGTCGACAAACGGATGTTCCCAGATTTTCTTTTACGCACCCACTTGTTTTGATTCAGGATCCCTTTCAAGTAAGTGTTTGCAAAATCGATCGTCGATTGCCACATAAATAGTCGATTGTAACATAAACTTAAGCGTAAATGGCAAGTTTTCAAACTCATAGAAAAATTAAATGCTTCTTGCGATCAAAAAATTTAAGGGAGAGATCTATTTGTGACTGTTCTGTTTACTTTGCAAAATATATGTATGCACTCACCCAATACATACGACGACGACTCCGATGATATTCATTACATTATCATAAGGCACTTTTTTGAGGCTCCCGAATAATCCAAATCGGGATACAGCCCAGCCAATGATACATGTTACTGTATTCCACAGTAACGAACCGACGGCCATGCCTATTCCATCCATTATTGTAATAGTGAGCGCATTTCCTTCAAAGAGCTCAATTAACGACAAACCATAATCTTCATGATACATTTTTGCAATCTTTCAGAGGTCATTTTAGTATCTGAAATTTGAAGTCTGTGCTCTCATCTTCCCGAATACCAAGTCTTAGGTTGTCCAATTACAGTGTTGTTGTTTTTTTGCAAATGGGAATTCTTCTGAGAGGATACTAAAGTTTCCTAAACGGCCAGTCTATGTCGGCTGCTAGGTCACGTTGACCTCGCCTTCGTCCGCACGCAAAATTATTGATTATTGATTTTGTGGAAGCGCAGAGCGAATGGAAGAAGGGGAGTTCGTGGAAGGTGTTGAGAGTGCAGGCAGCAAGAAAGCCACTGGAGCTATCGATAATATTGATAACTTTCTGCCAATAAGGTGATCAGCTGTCCCCTGCAGTGTTCCACTTATTGATCGTGTTATAGCTCCTTCCTTGGTCCTGGGAGCATTTCACTACTGTACAATCATCTAGGCCATGATCCTAGGTTCAAACACGTCGATTGGCGCAGTGGGTTCGTTCCTTGTTGACATTGGATCGCTCGCGGGATCAATTCTCCATGATACTCGGATGTTTTGCAACCCTCATAGGTTACTACCTTGCTTTCTACAATTCTTTCAAAGTAACCAGCAATGCTTTGTGGTGCAGTGGCAAACGTCGCGCTCATGGGCGCTGCATTACATGGTTCAAGTCCATGGCGACGCGACTTTTGCTAGGAATGTAGTGAAGTTCGCCATTCAGAGCGGGTCATCTGGCTGTCTCGCCTTTCATTATTCACCGTTTACGGCCGTAGTTCACCACCTTTAACTCCCAGTCTATGGCACTTTACTACCGTCCCTGAGTTTCCCAAGATTTCACATCATACCACATGCTACATATTAGACTGTTCGGAAAGTGATACGGTTTTCGAGATGCCATGCATTTTTGAGATGTTTTAGCTTAGAAAGTACGTATGAAATCTGCAGTGCTATATACAGTAGTGGCCAGAAATTTATGAACAAACGGTTTTTTCATGATTTCTCTTTTGAAAGTCACTGCAACGTCTCCAAATTTGCAACAATTATTAACTACGTGTTTTATGATCCACACAGAAAATTTCAACCTTCAGCTCAAATTTGGGTTTAGAAAATTTTAGATTTTTCGAAATTAATGAAGGCAGGTGAAAGATCACTTGATCCGTTTATTTGATTTAAATAATGTATAACCCAACAGAACAGTCAAGTAAACAGTCACTAACATTAAGCAAGTCTAGCACATTGCCCAGAACTCTCTAAAGTATTGGATACATAAACTGGATTTGAATGCGGGGTCAACTAATGAACTCACTCTCTAGTGGGGTCTCTCTCTGTAGTCCCGTCTTTTCGTGGCTCTTTCATTGACATACGAATTTGTAGGTCCTCCCCTAGTGGTTCTGTAATGTTTGGCTCAAGAGTCTGGCCTGGCTGGTCTTTTAAAAGCACCCCATGCTGTCGAAACCACTCCTGCATGTGAGAGGCCGATGCTTTGAGTCGCTGCTCTGAAGTGCAAACGTCTGTCTTCATCGCTACCTCAGTCGTGTAGCGTGGTCCCACTTTTTTCCAAGGCAACCTTATCAAGCCTCCGCCAAGTTTCACAATTGGCAGCTGATTCTTTGGATCAAAACGTTCCCTCTCGTGGTGCCGTACATTACTAGTATCCTTGCTGTCATGCATCAGTAATATGTTTTTGTCATTCCAGATGACCTTAGAAACCTGTATCAACCTTCGTTTCAGGCTTAGTCAATCACATTCTACTCCCACCCACTTCACAGCGAGCGCTCTTCTTAGACTTTGAGAACTAAGGAATACGTAGTATAGACTTAGATTCTAGAAGATGTTATGTATCCGTAGACATGGCTGCCACACGACCTGGCTTTGTCTGTCAGCAGAGCAGCGACTCAAAGCATCGGGCCTCTCACATGCAGGAGTGGTTTCGACAGCATGGGGTGCTTTTAAAAGACCAGCCAGGCCAGACTCTTGAGCCAAACATTACAGAACCACTAGGGGAGGACCTACAAATTCGTATGTCAATGAAAGAGCCACGAAAAGACGGGACTACAGAGAGAGACCCCACTAGAGAGTGAGTTCATTAGTTGACCCCGCATTCAAATCCAGTTTATGTATCCAATACTTTAGAGAGTTCTGGGCAATGTGCTAGACTTGCTTAATGTTAGTGACTGTTTACTTGACTGTTCTGTTGGGTTATACATTATTTAAATCAAATAAACGGATCAAGTGATCTTTCACCTGCCTTCATTAATTTCGAAAAATCTAAAATTTTCTAAACCCAAATTTGAGCTGAAGGTTGAAATTTTCTGTGTGGATCATAAAACACGTAGTTAATAATTGTTGCAAATTTGGAGACGTTGCAGTGACTTTCAAAAGAGAAATCATGAAAAAACCGTTTGTTCATAAATTTCTGGCCACTACTGTATCTTTGGCAAGCATCTTATATCTTACTTCTTTCGGAGTCATTGATTTTGAAATGACTCGTTATCTTAAATTTTTCATAGGTGTAAACTGAAGGTTTAAGGCAGTAGTTTGGTCAAGATTACTTCCATGCGTTTAAATTCTGAATTAATGCTGCGTGGATATCTTAAAAAAATAACACAAAAGGTTGGAGCCAGGTAAGCATCAATAAATCCAAAAAATGCAGCATAACATATTAGTCTTGAAGAATTCTATCGTGATGGTGAGAGGCGCCAAGAGCAAGTTACGGTGTTGATTAACTCCTGAAGAAAACTGGAAATGATGAAAAGACCGAACAAGTGGGTACCGCTTAAGCTAACAAACGAGCTTCAACAAAATCGTCTTCTGAGTTTCTTCCGTTTATTCTACCTAAAAGAGGAATTCACGATAAGAACGAAGGTCAAAGAAGGGGAAATTGCATAGTTGGGAGACAGGCGGACCTCCTGAGGGTGCTGACCGACGCGCAATTGGCAGCGAAAGATTTGACCTCGGCGATCTAGCATGGCTCACTCTTGGCGCGGTTGGCGGGGTACGCCCACCGACTATCTAATCACTCGCCGCAGGTCTATACGTGGCGAGTGATTAGATAGCAGAGAGAGCAGTGTTGAAGAGGGCACAGCGATGAGAGTCGCATCAATGCGCAAATCAACGGGCAAGGAAGGGGTCCCATTTCTCGGGTTCTGGGCCGTTTCTCATGGTTTTCCTTCTTTCGTGTACCACTCACCATCCCTAAATTAATTTGAAATGGGTTGCTTTTTCACCGCAAATTCTGTCCTTCAAATAGAACGACCAGCATTCGGAATGCGTTGACATCCACAATAGAAAGCAGGCTGCTTACGAACCAGAGGAAAGGCATCTACTCAGAACTCAGACCGCTACAAAAGTTACAAAGATTTCGCAGAAAATTTTGCACTTGAAAAAAGGACAACTTAACAAGTGCAGCAAGAGGACGGATTACTACGATGAGCTGTGTGAGCGTTTTAGCTTTCTCAAGATGATCAAGACTTAAAACTTCTCTTTGGTCGAAGACACCTTGACACTATCTTTATCATTCCAGAAACACTGTTCGGCAAGCCCTCATGACACTGGCTGGGATGGGTGTCGCGTCTAGCTTCTCCGCTCTCTTCGCCCTTCTGTTCTTCTCGTCTTTTCTCATCTCGGTACCGAGCATTTCTTCGCCATCAACCGGTTGACCAGTAAAGATTTTTATCTCTAGCCTTTTAGGTGATTCTTTTTGTCTCTTCTTCAATGCATTTAGCGCTCGCTTCACACCTAGTTTCATTTTCAACAGCACAAATCTTGCTGAAAAAAGGTGTTTCTAGTAACATACTCTCTATGAGTCTTACTTACGAACCAATAGCAAAGAACATTCCGCCGCACAGTGCCAGAGGGTAAATTGGTGGCCAACCGGTGAGAGCAAGGACGCCCACTCCAGCAAGCAGTTGACCTATACACATCAACCACTGAAAGTACATTCCTGAAACAAACTATTGTAGCCAAAAGTCAACTCATCTAAGGAAGTTTATATTGATAGAAATGTACCGTCACCGGCTTCGAACCATCGTACTGGCACATAGCAAGATCCATAAAGTGCAGTGGCTAGAGTTGCCGATACCAACCCAGTAAAAGTGTCCTGTTCACTCATGAATATGTATAACAGAACGAATGCAGTATTATAGAAAACGCCACCGTCTGCAAGTTAGATTTTCTCATAAACTTCAAAAAATGAACTAATTGCGAGGGTTTACGTCCTTCGGTACTTCCCTGATCTTGATTGGAAAACGCGCTCCAGCGCTAAAGGAGCTTGTTGCGCGGGTTTCAGCACATTAAGAAGTGAACAATATCGCATGCTAGCACCACCTTAGTATCCCGCCCTTCTATCGGATGAGCTCCTCTGTTCAGTATTTAGCCGTCCTTTTTGAAGAAGGCCTTTTTCCCATGTTTTGGTCTTTTGTTTAGCTCGAATTAGTTTCATCTTTATGGAAGCCAATCTTCACTTAATCTTTTGTGACCTTCCCACTATCCTAATTTCTACTCCTGTATTTTTATCGCTGTTCGAGCAAAATAAATATTAGGCCACTAATAGGTTTCGGCGGCGATAAAGGTCTATATTCAAACAGTACCTAAAGGGGGAAGGTACGTATCATGAGTAAGAGAAAGGAAAACCGGAGTCGTAGCAATTTCATAAAAGGTCCAACGCTAGGGCTGAAGATGTTCCGGCCGTGGGCGGCTGGTTGTTCAGAATGGTCACAATGAAGCAGTAGGTGTCGATGTTCATGTCGCTCACACACAGTTCTGCAAGCTGATTTTCTGCCAGAGACGAAGTGAAATATCTACAAGGGGAGGGGGGAGTAACCTTCATTTCTTCACTTCAAACAGAATTAATTACACTTTGCCAAACCAAACCGAATGAGCTCAATTGCATATTGAAGAGCACATTCTATTCTATCAAAAAATTACATAGGGCTTTCTACACCGACGACATCAGAAGATTTTCCCACGGAAACATGGTTCACGGTACGAGCTCAACGAGGTCGTCGAGAAACCATAGACGATGCGTCCGAAACCATAGACGATGCTCCTTAGGGACACTAGCTTTGACTATGCAAGATGGCCAAACGCCATCTTGCATAGTCAAAGCTAGTGTTCCTGAAGGAAGCTGTTCACCAGTTATCGATTGAAGAAATTATGTAGCAGCTTCAGAATGGAGCGATTATGGTAGGCCTCCTTGAGCTCGACGGTGATGACAGATGACGTCATATTCTGGAGACGGTGAAGGCAGCGAAGGTGGGCCTGATTCTGCTTATGGGGGACATCTAAGGAATATTTTGTCTCCCAATAACAGCGGCATCCTTTGCGACGCCATGGGCAAAGTGACTTTTTTGAACCCCCCCCCTGCATATAACTAGCTATAGACACGACGTTTCAATGCTTCCATGTTCCATGGATTTGCTTTGCACCTTCGGGACAGCAGAGTCAGCAGCCAGTGAGTGAGTGAGTGTAGTATCCAACAGTTACAAAATTCATTGCAATAGTTGCCTAACTCAAGTTTGAAAAAACTACATCTTCTCTGGGACGCTGTAATATTTCAGTCAAGGCAGGGATAGCGAAGATGTTGAAGGCGGAGTTTCGATTAGAAGGCAGCCCATGTAGTCGTGGTAAATGTGGTCAGTAGTACCGGGATAAAGAGAAAATGAGAAACTACCCAGAACACGAAAGATGGGATCCCTTCATTGGTTTCCGTATTGCGTTGCCGCATCGGCATGATGTGACTCTCATCGGTGCTGCCCTCTTCAACGCTAATGCTCTCTCTCTGTTGAACGGCTAAAAACCTGCTACGAGCGCTAGCTCATCGCTGAGCGTACCGCACTGATAGCACCTTGGGGAGGACCATGATAGATTGCCGGAGGCAGGTCCTTCGTTACGAATTCTGTGTGAGCCCGAACCTTGGGTTGTTCGTCTGTCTCAACTATGTGAGTTTCGCTTTCTTAGAACTTCGATGTTTTCATGGGATCCTTCTTCAACAGTTCAGAATCAGTCTGCTCCTCTATAAACGCTGTCCGATCCCTGCCGAAACCCTGCCGAAAAAGCCTAAAGTGGGGTGAACGTCCTCAGCCAAAAAAGTTAGTTGGAATTGGGACTCCAAACGTACGGTCGCTAACTGGGAAGCCTAGAGAGATCTGATGACGCGCAGGAATATCCAAGTCCTATGCCTTCAGGAGACGCGATGGAAAGGTGCTAAGGCCAGGGAAATTGGGGAAGGTGTCAAACTCTACTACAATGGAGAAGACACCAAGCGGAACGGTGTGGCCATAGCGGTAGCGGAGTCGCTCAAGAATATGTCTCCGCCGAATAGGACAAGCGATTGGATTATGGACATAAGGAGAAAAACGAAGGAAGTTCACTGGACAATATTTTCGTTTAGGCACCGAAGCTGGTTGTCCTGAAAGCGAGAAGGAATGACTCCATTAGATTCGATGAGGTAATCAGATCGACTTCGAAAGTGGACTATCTAACCATAACAGGTGATCTTAACGGCTACGTCGGCAGGGGAAAAGATGCACGGGATGATGCACGGGGTAGGCCGATAGGGGTGAGAAACGCCGAAGGGAGAGAGGGTCCTGGACCTGGCTACGGCCCACGATCTGGCAATCTGCAGCACGTTCTTCGCGAAAAGGGAGACTCAGAAGGTAACCTACAGCAGTGGAGGGAGACAGACGGAAATCGACCATGTGCTGGTAAGAAGATCATCCCTCAAAACTGTGAAGGATATCAAGGTACTCCCTGGCGAAGAACTGGCTCCCAGCACAGGCCCCTCCTGGCAGACATTGCCATAGACCTCCCCAAGAAGACAAGGGTAAACCGAGAGGAGAATCCGGTGGTGGAAGTTGCACCAAGCGGAGAAGGATGACCTCAAACGAAAGATAATGGAAGTTGGTCTCCCAGATCCTAACGGGCCAATACAGCGGACTTGGAGCAACGCGGCTGAGACCATCCTGCGATGTGCCAAGGAGGTACTGGGCGAGACGCGAGGTGGATTCAGAGGAGACAAGGCAGCGTGGTTCTGGAACGAGGAGGTCCAGCGAGTCGTGAAGCAGAAGAAGGAAGCATACAAGCGCTGGCAGAAGACGGGGAGCTCTGAAGTCTCCGCTGTCTATAAGAAGGTGTTAAGGCAACCGTCGCCAAGCCGAAGGAGGCAGAGAAGAACTCCCGAAAGGAAAAGTTGGGGAAGCCGAACTGCAGAGAAAAAATCACGGAAGACAACTTTACTCCTCCGAGATGAAGAGGCGAAGATTGGCTTGCGGCTGGACGTCATGGACAGGGTCAGAAACGAGGATGTCTCAGTAATGCGAGATGCCCTTCCCAGTTAGAGGTGTGGAAGCAACGTCTGCGATGGTAGGGACATACATATGCTGAGGTCACACAATCACTCGACACGAAGAAGAGATGGAGGAACGTTATAAGGAAGACCTCAGTGAAGGCAGAGCCACGGCAGATGATGGCTCGGAAGGGATCTATTGGTGACGTATACCAAGAACAGCGGACCCTGCGACTGCGCGGGATGAACTCTAGAACAAAGAAGAAGTAATATTTCAGTTTAAAGATGGTGACGGGCACCGAAATATGCCAAGTGTAAAATAACTTTCACGGATCCTTACGTATTTCCCAAAAAATTAATGTATAACATATGTATAGTAAGTGAGCGTAACAACAGGTGGCATAAATGTAAGCGAGCGACAAGGGACACAAGCGTTTTTATTTTATATTGACAACTTCACGGTTCACAACCAGAAATGCAAAGCAGGCCGATTCCAGATTTCAACGCCTGTCGACCTTAGCTCGTGGACGGGACAAATACCTTGTCATAATATCACGAATGGAAATGCAAATCAAGTTCATATTTCACCCGCCACACAAAAAATTATTCCTAACAGTTTGTACTCTTCCGATTCTGTCTGGTTACATGCTTCAGTGACAGCCTAGTGCGAAGAATTGTTGGCGAATCGAAATTACGAAACCCTAAAAAGCTAGAGCATAAACATTGAAATGTGGGCAATAGTTCTTTTTGAAATTTCGGAACGAACATATGGCTTGTATGTTTTGAATTTCGTGAACCGTCGTCCTACAGCGTTCGTTTGTCCTTAGCGCACCGCAACACTTCTTGGCCTTTCACACCATGGGTATCTTTCTGGTGGAAGGGTCTAGCCAAGCTGGTAGTCGTCACTTGGTTAACTCTAGTGTTAAAAGGCCCATTCCACACTCGAGCTGCTCGAATATGAAGTAAAAGTGCAGATCGTATTGCAATTAAGGAAAAAATAAGAAACTATGGGAAACGCTGGAAATGAGGGTCTCGCCTTGACAGACTGCGAAGAGATCTCAGGGCAGTAACGAGCTAGCAGATACGGCACCGATTCGAGAGTCTGCCAGGCAGAGACTGCAGGGCAGAGCACAGCGATATACACAGAGACCGTAACGGTAGGTGTGCACTACTCTCTGAGACGTGCACTGATTCTCTTCTAAACCCCTACCGCCCATCGCCCATTCAAATCGCTGAAGTGGCACCACTACCTCAGTAGCGGGCACAGCAGCGGCGTTCGCGGGAGGGTTTGAAATCTCATTTTAAAAACCTGATACTTTCCGACCCGATATTTTTGATATTAACCTGAATTTGAGCTCAATCTGCGATATTTTTCAATAATGGTCCACATCTCGACGCCACCATGCTACAGATTTTCTGTGCCTGAGGGCCAGATCTGTGGCTTTTACGAGTTAATGAAATAGAAGATATCATTCCTGAGTTAAGAGTAATCCCTGCGTTTTTCTCGCAGAAATGTGCAAGCACCAGATGATAGCCAGGTGAGATAAATCTAGCAAAGAAGCAGAATGAAGTAGCTTCCTCCTATTCGAGTTTAATGACCTTTTTGGCGGTACAGCTTCAAAACATGCTCACTTTAAAGAGGTCAAGGTTTTCGCGTTTCAGGTATTGCCGTCAAATATGTTGCAACTTTTGTAGCAGAAGAACGAACACCTGCGGTTACGGTGCAGTTAGTTCGAGATGGAGTATTCATAGAGAAGCCAGCATCAACAAAGCAAAACGTTCAGCTCTCATTAGCCACCTTTCGGCTGTTTTGGGGGCTCTCCAGG